CACACACACACACACACACACACACACACACACACACACACACGAGTATGGGTATAGCTCAGTGATACAGCATTTGACAGCAGAACCCTCCAGCCCTGCAACAGCCCTTGAAGAGAGCTGTGTTCTCCAAGTAACTTGAACCCGGGTCTCCCACCTCTCTCCTGAGCCCACTTGATGCCTTCTTTCAGAACACCAATGTACCCACAGAGTTCTGTGTGAACTCAGAAGAGCCAGATGGGCTCAGAATGCGGGCTAGCCTATTCTCCCGCAAACCTGATAAGAGCCCGTTCCCATCACGAAAGCCATGTGACCCAAACATACATTTCAACTTGGAGCAAGATGCGCTTCTCTTCCTGTACGTGCAGGCCCCACACGCAGTCCTGGCCAGGGCTATAGCTCTGGGGCCAGTCGGGAGAGAGGACCACACCAGCTGGCTCAGACAGCTCTCCTCCACACATGGCTAGGGAAGAGGTGTCAGGTTCAGGAACCATGTGGGCATTCACCACAGTCCATTCACCACAGTCCCCACTGCTCTCAGCGGTGTGCACTAGGCCACCTCATCAGGCTTTTTGGTGTGAAGATTTCTTGTCATATCTAGATTTTACTATGATTGGTTTTCCAGCCCTGCCCTTAGTTAACCCTGTCCATTTTCCAGCTTACTCACCCAATCCAGACTCAAACCAACTCTAGTTCTAGCTCGAGAAGCCTTTTAGGTCTGAGCCTGGACAATTCATAACAAGCCCAGCTATTACTTCCCTAAGAATGTAACCTCTAAAGGGGGCAGAGTTTTACCCAGGCTTTGGGTTTGTTTTCTGTTTCTCAATTATTTTCCAATGTATCATTATTTATTTATTTATATTTTATTGGTGTTTTGCCTGTAGGTATGTCTGTGTGAGGGTGTTGGATCCTGGGGTTACAGACAGTTGTGATCTGCCATGTGGTTGCTGGGAATTGAACCTGGGACCTCTGGAAGAGCAATCAGTGTTCTTAACCTCTAAGCCATCTCTCCAGCCTGCCTTTGGATTTACTAGGTCTTAATGTTCATTTCAGATCTCCTTCACAATTGCCTTCCTGAGGTTCCAACTTCAGGGACAGTCTGTAGGCTGAAGGACTCTCGGATGTAGAAGACTTACCCTTACAGGCTGGCTCTGTGTCATTCCAGTGTGGTTCTGTGGGATCCACACATTCGATGGCATTGGGGGGCCCTGGTGGCTCCAGAGCATATCCTGGGAGGCATGAGAAGGTGGCCAGTGCCCCTGGGCGGTACTCAGGGTCTGTAGTAGTCACGTTGCCATGTGCCAGGAAAGGCGCGAAGCAGCGATCCTCCTCAAAGGCTAGAGAAGAGTTGGTCACAAAAATTAAGCATTAGGATAGGCCTCAGGGATCTCATATTGGGCACTTAGGCTAAATTTGGATGTTGCTCGGCCATACACAGGCTTTTTTGTTTTGTTTTGTTTTGTTTTTTGAGACAGGGTTTCTCTGTGTAGCTTTGGAGCCTATCCTGTAACTCACTCTGTAGACCAGGCTGGCCCAGAACTCACAGAGATCCTGCCTGCCTCTGCCTCCCAAGTGCTGGGATTTAAAGGAGTGTGCCACCACTGCCTGGCTTACATATGCTTTTTAAATTTGTTTTGGTATCTTGAGATGGTGGTTCTTACAATATAGCTTGGGCTGACTTTGAATTTGAGATCTTCCTGCCCTAGCCTTCCAAGTGGTGGGACCATGCACCTGTGCCAATAGTACTAACCAGCATTATACAGATAAGGACATCTGCAAACAAAAAGCCACCAGCCCAGGGTCACCTAGGAGGCAACTACAGAGCCAGAGCTACAATCCTGAAGGGTTAGTTCTCATTTACAGACATTTCAATTTGGAAACAGCAAGGGACCTGGGGAGGGTGTTTCTGGAGAACTGGCTTGCGTAGGTGTGTTCTAGCCTCAGAAATAACAGTTGGATTCTGATCATCCACACTGCTGCTAGAATCTAAAACTGCAGCTAGTGCAGAGCTGCTCAACTTTTACTGAGGGCCAAATCAACAAAAATGAACATTTCTGGAACATTTTTTTTTTCTGTCCACCTGATTATGTCTCATCTACAAAACCACCTCTGATGTAGGTGAGGACCTGAAGCTCACAGCACAACAGTGGCCCACCTGGAGAGACAAATTGGGATTTTTACTGAAGAGCAGAGAGTTCTTTAGCACTTTCAGAACTCATCATGTGCTGAGTTTCTGCAGATTCACTATTATATCTTCTATTACTTAACCTGAGGAGGTATCATGTGCAAATCCTGTCCACCCATCAGGGCCTAGGGCCAATTCCACTTATTTGTGACCCATCCAAATCATACCCTTCTAATCTCTGGGCATTTCCCTTCCATTGCCTCCCGCCTCTGTCTCCTTCTCTCCCTGAGACATGGCTTCTCTATGTAGACTTGGCTCTCCTGGAACTCACTTTGTAGATAAGGTTGGCCTTGAATTCAGATATCTGACTGTCTCTGCCTCCCAAGTGCTGGGATTAAAGGTGTGCACCACCACTGCCTGCTGGTCCATTGCATCTTGCTATTGTTTTTATAAATGCTCAGCCATGCTGTTTCTCAAATGCATCATCGCCCTTTTACCCTGAGCTGCCCTGCACCTTCCTCTCTCTGTGTTATCTGCTTAACCTCTGTCCTGGAAGGCCACAGTAACTGCCTCTTCTCCCATGGTGACTGATTTCTTTTGAGCTGTCCAACAGCCACTCTTTCTTCTTGTGGTCATAGCTTCCCTATTTTCATTAGGTAGAATATGCCTTCCCTTCGAGTCCATGAGGTTTAGTTGGAACCAAGCAGAGACAGCCATGCCGTGCAGACCTGCCAATCATCCTACTCCCTGACTTGATCGAACTTACTCAAGTCAATTAGAACATTTTCTGGAATTGTTGCCAAAGCTCTCGTGAGCATTTCCTTTCTCTGATTGTATTAAGTTTATCGTCTGTGAGTCTGTAGTTAGATTTACCACATAGGGAAAGCCTGCATGGGAATGACGCCACTACACAGTAAAGAACTGAGAGATAGGGAATTGTCCATCTGGCTATAAACTACATCCAGCCATATCTGAAACTTGATGACAGGAAACTACTTGGAATGAGACAGTGTCCCTGTGAAGGGATCCCTGTCAGGTGTCAGGGACCACACAGAGATGAGCACGGAGGGAGTATGTGCTTGTGACTATTCCTAGTGTAAAGAGGGGGACATGGTGTGGGAGTTGGGCATGGTCAGGAAATGAGACTATTACCTTCAAATCGGAGGCTGAGCAGCAGAGGATTGGCTGGTGTCTCTGAAAGCAGTTCTACGTAGAGGGATTGGGCATCACTGATGAGACCACGCTCCGGGACATCATCCATGTCAGAGTCATAAATCACAGGGGACAGGGGACTTCCCCCCGAGCGCACCATCAGCCTGGGGTGGACAGAAGGGTGGTGGGTGCATTTCTCCCTTGGAAGCTGCTCTTCTGGCTTATCTTTAAGCTGCTATTATCAAACACTAACCCATACCATGCACCTTTTCAAGTCCAAACACATTTCATCTTGTTTGATCTTTACAAGGACTCTTGAGTCAGACACTATTATTACCCCTCATTTTATTGATGAGGCTACAGAGGCACAGAAAGACTGGGTGCTCGGCCTGAGAGCACACTCCAAAGCAAAAAGGAGCACTGAGAAAGATGATAGCACACACTTTTATAGCGCTTATCATGTGCTAGGTACCACTTCAATTACTTTACATATCTTAATGCATTTATTAATTAAGTATTTGGAAGAGTGCTATTATCTCCCTTCTACCAGTGAGAGAATTGAGGTGCAGTGAGGCACACTGACTCATCTAAGGTTGCATAGCTGCACTCTCTGAGGTGGACACAAGGATCCATCCAGTGTCACCTGACTCGCTGCTGAAGCCTCCAAGCTTGCCCAAGGCAGGGACCTCTAGCCCAGTGTCCAGACCCTCACCGGTCATTGTCCTCATCCAGTGATACTCTTTCAAAGTGCAGGTGTAGCCGGCGTCCCTCGGCAGCTTCGATGACCCAGCGACAGGTAAGGTTGGGCCCTGCAGCTCCCCCAGGCTCAGGGGATACGATGCGACCCAGTGTGGCATTGTGGATGGTGCCCCCACAAGATGCTGTGGGCAGAGAAGGCAGTAAGGCTTCAGCCCTTTCTCAGGCTCAACTCTAGAGCCTGGTAGCTGCTGGCTAGGGATGACCTCTGCCCATGGATTTAATAGAAGGACAGACCTTTTCTGGCTGCTGTCTAGACTGAAATAGAACCCTATTCATGGAGGTGCTGCTAAAATGAAGCCTCCTGAGAGGTAGGCACCTTGAGACAGAAAGCCTTGAAGGTAGGAATCCTTACACTGTAAACATTTTATGCTTGGTAGAGAGGCTGGAGAATGAAGAGTTAAGGACCAAAATCTGCCAACCAGGAACCCTAAACATGATTCATTAGAGTGGAGGAGCCCCCAAAGATAGGGCATCTAGAGTGGTAACAGGATGGCAAGCACAAACTGGGTTTCCCAAGATGAACCCCAGACAAGGCTGGAGATTCCCCTAAGGATGGAGACCCTCATGGTAGAGAGCTCAAGACACTTTGACAGGGGCCCTGCAGCTAGAAATTTCTTCAATATGTTTTCTCCCCAAAGATGGATATTCCCCAGCTCAGCTATCCTCCCCCAGCACAGAAGTATACATGAGACTTACCTATGCAGCTAGGGGGTTCACCAGTCCAGGCTGGCCGGGTACCATTGAGGCAGATGAGCGTCTCCTCACCCTGCAGCTGGTATCCTGAGTCACAGTGGAAGGTGGCAGTGCCCCCGGGATGCAGGTCCGTCACACTCACATCCCCATGGGCTGGCCGGGGTGGAAAGCCACAGCTCAGAAGGTATGCTGGACAGGTCAAGGAAGAGGAAGAGGGGCTGTTATCTCAGTCATTTCTCGTACCCATTCCTTGGTGCTTCTGCAAACCCCTCCATCTCCTACTCCCAGGGAGCAAATGGGCTCATTGCTGGGGCGCACGCTGCAGAAAACAAACTCCTTACAATGTCTCCCTACCTCAGCAAGAGGCAACATCAACACTGCTCATCTCTGGTCTTCGTAATTTACCTGTTTTGGTCTGTTTTTTATAGACAAACGTTACTTTAGAACCCAGTCTTTACCGGCTGTGTGACCTCAAGCAAATCAATTGACCACCTTGAATTCTATCAGCACGAATACCAAATGGCATCTGCAGAGATGGCTCAACTTCCTAGTCAGTTCACACAGTTTAGAGGAAGGCAGAGAAAGAGTGCACAACCCGTTTTCTAGGGGGTGACGCCGAGGCTTCCCCTTATGAAATGCCCTGTGTTGTTTTCTTTCACAAACTTTCTTGTACGGAGGTGCAGTCAGCTTTTAGCCAGGCTAGCCACAAGAAACTGCTTTAGGAATATTGCCTTAAGACTTACTACCTAGTACCCCTGACTAACCCCAGCAGAGACAGAGTGCTGATGGGGCAGAGATCCTCCTCTCTGTGAGAAGCTGCTTTGTCTTATCTCTTGTGCTGAGAACTGCATAACTTCCCTTTCAGCACCGGCTTCCTTGCACCTCAAAAATTAGGACATCAATGACCTGTTCATCCACATCCAAGCCATTTTGTCCTCTAATAATTATTCTCTGGTGTCATTTCCCTCTACACATCTTCACAGTTGTATCCTTTACATTTTTTCTCAAAGCTACTTGAAATTATTTTCGGGGGAGGGTGTTGGTTTAGTTTTGAAACAAGTTCTTGTTGTGTAGCCCAGATTAGCTTAAATTTCTCAGTCCTCCTGCCTCAGACTTCAGAAAACTGCACCACCATGCTGGGTGTCTGAGGCAGTGTCTTGGAGGTGCAGGCCGGCTCTACTCAGCAGAAGGCTTTGCCTTCCCTGATTCGGGAGCCTTCAGCAATTTTGTCAGAGACCTATCCCTTCCACACTCCAAAAGTCGTCGAGCATTTATCTAGCTGGGCTGTGGGGACAGACAGGAAGAAAACAAACCCAAACAAACCCATAACTTGTCTTTCCATTGTCCCTAGACTACTAAGAGGAACAGACATAAAACAACCGTCCAAAACACAGCAGATTTGGTAAATGCCAGCCTCCTGTGGCCAACAGAGCCAACTCTGAATGCTTTAGCTTGATATTCTAGTCCCTTCCCCAGCCAGGTCAAGCCAAGTCCTTAAGTTATTTACTCAGCTCTTGAGGCCAGAATGTCCTCCTATGCAATAGTCTGTGACCCCTTACTATCTCACACTCCCCCCTTTGTTTCTGGTGATGGGATTAAATCCAGGATGTTATACATGATAGGCAACTGCTCCACCATGCACTAACTATACCCCTAGCCCTTGTGATTTTTGTTTTGTTTTTGAGACAGGGGCTGACTACATAGCCCTGGATAGCCTGGAACTCTCTACAAAGACCAGGCTGATCTTGAATTCACAGAGACCCATCTGCCACTGCCTCCTGAGTGCAGGGATTAAAGGCATGCACCACTGACACTTAGCTACCCTTTGATTTTTTTCTTTGAGTAAAGATCCCACTATGTTGTCTAGTCTAGCTTCGAACTCTTGTACCTTTTACTTCAGTGTTCTGAGAGCTGGAATTATGTGTATGCACCACCACAGACAGACTACCTCCATATTTTTTTGCTCACACCTGTGCTCCTACATACAAGGCTTTCTGGTCTCTTTCTGGTCTTTCAAAGAGTATCTTAAGCACCATTCCTTCCAAAAAGTTTTCATGACTTGCCCTGCTCCCATAAGGTCTTGTTCAATTCTACATATGTAATTCTCTCATCACATTACCTATTTTCTGTCATCACTATGAAACTGAAACAAGACCTGAGCAGGTTGATCTCACACTGGGAAGGGACATCTCTCACCAATGGTAATAATTCATATCAGTAAGGATTGGCCTGGAATCTAAATAAAAACTTTAAAGACGGGGTTGGGGATGTAACTCATTTGGTACCATCTAGCTCTGAATTAAACAGGCCTATAATCCCAGCACTGGGTAAAGGTGGGAGGGGCAGAAGTTTAAGGCTATACTTGGCTACACAGTGAGTTCCAGGCCAGCCTAAGTGACTCGAAACTGTCTCAAAACAAAACAAAACATGCAAAAGATTCCCTACCCAAGGGTACTCACGTCAGTCAACCCCCACCCTCATTTTAGGAATGAGTGTGGAGCAGGGACTTGGGCATCTGATTTCTGACTCTGCAATGAAGTTTCAGGTGCCTCAGAAAGCCATGTGACCTCAAATCTTTTCCCTCCTCTGGGAGATGGAGCTGACTTGGTCCTCTCTGGGTTACTGTGAGAAGCAGTAGCTGGGGGAAGGACTGCGCATGGGCAAACTTGCTGGACTGTGCTGGCTCCCTGGATATGAAGCCACAGTTAGAGCAGGTTGAGAAGGGCTTACATAGTGGCCTTTGTCCTAAAGATGCCTGCAGGAGCTGCAAATAAGGGAAGACCAAGGCAGGTAATGAAGGCTCCTTTATGCAATAACCCTGCTCCCCTCAGTGTTCCACTTAGCCCGAGAGTCCTAGTTTTGATGCCCTAGGGAAATGGCTGCTTAAAGGATCCTATAGTGAGTAGCTTTTTTTTTTTGTTTTTTTTTTTTTTTTTTTTTTTTTTTTTTTTTTTTTTTAATCTGATGTCTAGTCTTTGGCTCCCAAGGCATGCATGTTTTTGTCTCCAATAACCAGGTCCCTGGCACCAAGCACAAGACCCAGCTCACTGGTCTCTCCAATAGGTCTGGTGGTAGGAGCTTCTGCCTTGAACAATTTCCTCTCAGATCATGAGGAAGGGATATCGTCTACAACCTGGGTAAGATGCACAGGAGATCTGAGAGGAAGGAGGAAGTACATGGAGCCAAGTGACAACGGCTTCTGTCTCTGAAGAGCACATGGAGGCACCTTGGAGAAGACAGCAATGTCTGGAATGGAGACATTGGCTGGGTCCTTTAGCTCATGCACATGTATGAGTGCTAGAAAATGCATGTGCACTGTGAGAGGTTCCCACACGCGCACAAAGGATAGCATAGGTACATATGGAGCTCATCTGTGTGTGGATGCACAGAACACTGCCCTTCCTGCCCCAGAAGTCAGGAGTTGCCAAAATTGCAAACCTAAGAGCATCACTTTTCTGCTGTGCTGCTTCAACTATCTGTCTCTCACCTGCAGTTTAAAGCACCTGAACTCCCCAGTGACACCCTGCCTGCTTCCCAGTGTGACACCCTGCCTGCCTCCCGGGGTGGCCTTTCCATTCACCCTTCCTTTGCTGCTGTCTCGGCTTTGGCTGTGGTGGCACTGGCTGACATTTCTGAGAGTTTACTGTGCTCCAGACACTGTTTTAGATACTCTGCAGGTATTAATTCATTTGATCTTCCTAGTCATATCTCACAGTAGGTGCTATAACTTCTGTTTTTCAGACAGAGCCTGAGACAGAGTGAGACACAGAAAGGTGAAAGAAACTACGCCAGGGTCTCACAGTGCAGACAGTTCCACCTCCGTTTCTAAGGGTCACATTTTCCCTTTCTCTCCTCTCTGGGACTCAGAGTGTACTTTTCCATCCATTAGACAGTTGCTTATCCACCCCCCCTCCCCGCCAGCTCATCCTGTAGGTCTATCTTAGTCATCACCTCCTCCAAGAAGCCATGACTATTTTCCTTAGAAAACACTTGGTCCCTTTTGATACCTGCTCCCCTTGCCGGAGTTTCATCACAGTCTTTATCTCTGACACAACCATTCCGATTACTTATGTTTCTACCCAGATCCTTGGACCCTTAAAGACAGACTTATATCAACCTTATTCATTCTTTTCCCCAAGGCTAACACAGAGTCTGGTGCAGGTACACAGTAAAAATTCACTGAACCAAATAAATGAATTGCTACTTGGATTCACTCAAACCCATTTACAGATCCATGAATTTGTGAGAAAAACATACATGCATGCCTTCTGAGGGTCCTGCCCACATAGGGTCCCAAACAGGAGGAAGGTTCTCTCCGGACCCTGAGTCAGAAGGGCCCTGGAGATGTCTTCTCTACCCGATGTGGCTCTTGCCCATCTAGTGGCACTTTAGACTCCTCACCCTGATAGTGAATCCTGAAGCCATTGCCCCTTGGGACTCGAGGACTCTGGAAATGCAGGAGCAGCCGGTTTGTTGGGCTTCGAAGGACCTGTCCTTCTCCCAGCATGGAGGAATTGGCCAGGAGTCTGGGGGCCAGGCCTGGAGATCCCCCACCGGCCAGCACCAGGAGCTCCTCCTCCTGAGATAGGTTGAGTGTCTGCACCTAAAGAAACCAGATACAAGCAGGCCAGGGCAAGTTAGCGGGGGAGGGGTTAGGATGACAGCCTAAGCCCCCACCCTCTGGAGAAACCACCGCTGTTACAGAACTCTAGAAGAGTTTTTGAGATCATTTAACTCAGAAAACAGGTTCACTGGCTCCCTGGTCAGACCTAGGCACACTCAATGGGCACCAAAGGAAATTACCTGAATCTCAATGCCATAGCCAGGGTAGACATGGATGCTGTAGGTGCAATCTAGGAGTTCCATAGAGCGGATGGCAGTGCTCCCCAAGTCTGGAGACTCCACGAACCCTTCCCCCTCAGAGATGTTGTTATTGCACAAAACTAAAGAGAGATAAGTGGCTTGGACTGAGAGGTCCTGCATGCTTGCCCTCCTGGCCAAGCATCTTCAGTGGTCACCTGTACCCCCCAGCACCCCTCACCATCCTTATCCAGTGCTCCCTTTCCATCTCCACTGAGGCTTTCCTTCCCCGACTACAGTACAGATGGAAGCCCACAGATGAGCCCATAGACATTAAGGTTGGCCTTTGTCATTACTAACCAGAAGCCCCTCTCCCACGTCTCCCACATGGTCCAAGCAGCTTTTTCCCCACCCATCCCCACATGGGGGCTTCCATGCCCTGTCCATCACCTCACCTGGGCTAGTGACAGTAGTGGTGACAGTTGTGGTGGTGATGATGGTGGTGGTGGTTTCCTCATCTCCTCCCTCAGGCCTGAGGGGTGGGACTGGAGAGGCGGGGCCGGGAGGGGGCGGGGCTGTGGGCCCAGGGGGCGGGGTCAGCAGCTCTGGCGCGGCGGGGCCTGCCCCCCTGACCCCCTTAGTGCTGCCAGCTGTCGTCAGAGGCCCTGTCCCTGGCTCAGTGGCACGTGGCAGGGAGGGTGCTGCAAGAGTCTGGCCGGCTGGAGGGGTGGCTAGTGTGGGGTCTGGGTCAGATCCTGAGATAGTTTGAGGGTAGTCAGAGCACAGGAGCAGCAAATTGGCCCATGGGGGTAGGGAACAGCTTAGAATGAAACAGAAACCCCAAAGCCTCCCCACAAGGTAAAGGCTTCCATTCTCCCCTTACCCACCCAGGCTTCCCACATTCTCAAGAGTTTTCAGCCAAAGCTCCCTTTCTTTTTTCCACCAGCTTGACAGCCCCCTTGAGCCTCTCCCCACCCCCAGATCTGGCTCTCTCTTCTCCCTTTCTCTCTTCTATGTCTTGTTCTCTCTGGAGCTTTTCTCTGCTTCGTATTCTTGTTGCTCTCTGGTTTTATGATCCCAGATCAACTACTGGTTGTATGTCACTCTTTTTGTCACTAGTTTTGTGACCCTGGTTCTCTGAACTCACATGTCTCTGTACAGAATTGACCTTCTCTTGACTATTCATCATTCTGACCCTGTCTCGGGTTTTGTCTAGGGACAGTTTTGACTCTTTCTTCTCTTGCCTGCCCCTGAATTGCGTTGGCTTCCTGGGGGTCTTTCTCTGAACTCTCTGTACCTGCCTTCTTTCTGGCCAGCACTCCATCTCCCAGAGGCAGAGCCTCTCCTTCTACTTTTATGCCCCTTTGGGGGCCTCACCCGGCAAGAGGCCAATCTCTGGGCCCTTCTGCAGCAAAGCTCCATGGAGCAGCTCAGCCAGGTCCTCAGAGGTTGCTGTGGGAGTCTCACTTCCAGGCTCTGGCACCATCTCATCCTCCTTCAGGGGCAGACCTAGGAGGTGAAGTCCTTTGAGCCCCTCCATCCCCCTACACCCCTTCCTTTCTCTGGAGAGATGTTTCCCAGAGCACTTCTTAGCAGATACTCAGAGGGTCTTCAGCTGGGCTGAGAGCCAAGATCAGAGGAGAGGCTCCAATCTGCCCTCTTACTCACAGTCCCTGCTCTTGGTCTCTGGACCTTCAGCGAGAGCCTTAGGTACTATTAACCCTGGACCGCTCTAGCAGAATGTAAGGAGCTGAGCCTTTGAGACTGCTTTCCATTTCTCCCCAGTGAAGCATTCCTCGGAACCCCAGAACTCCGAGGAGAGTCTGATAGCACCTCCCAGACCTTCCTTCTGCAGTGCCAGCTTTCTCTGGGTTTCTGTCTCTGCAGGTTCTCCCTCCCTCTCTCTCTCTCTCTCTCTCTCTCTCTCTCTCTCTCTCTCTCTCTCTCTCTCTCTCTCTCTCTCTCTCTCTCTCTCTCTCTCTCTCTGCAGTCTCTGCTGCCTTCTCTAGAGTCAGGTTGGGGATCAGAGTGGAGTCAGGGATTGAATATCGCTGCTTATGTTCATCTGTCTTTGTCCATATGTCCAAGAACATTTGTGTGTGCAGCGCCTGGCATCTCTCCCAGCACCCCCATCTCCCACCCAGGTACCCTGCCTGCTTCTACCGCCTCCGCAGAAGCTCTTCTTCCTGGATTTAACCCCTAAGATGCAACTAAAAGCTCTCCTTATTCATTTCCCTGTATCCTTAATACTAGGAGTTCAAGGGCTCCATGTACCAGTCAAAAAGCCTTGGCTTGCCCCTTCCCAGTCAACTGTGCCCCTCCCCTCCCCCACAAGCTCGGAAGACTCAATATGTTCAGATAAAGGTGGAGGACCCCCCAAGGCCTTCCCAGGACCCATCCCCACATATCCTTACCCTCAATCCAGACACAGCTCAGCAGAATTAGGAACAGCAGCTGGAAAGGCGGTGGGTGCTGGGCCTTGGGAGTCCCCATGGCGACTCACCCTAATCTCTTTCCTCTGTAGCTCTTCTGAATAATATAGTTGTCACTTTCCCTTCGCGTCCTTTTATCTTTCCCTTTAATTTTGCCTTCCTGCTAAGAGTCAGCAAAGGAAGACAATTTTTCTCCCTTTGGTATGGAGGAGCAGAATTGGCCTAGGGGTTGCCTGGAGTCCGCCCCCCTTTAGCTCAATCTTTATCCTTGGCTCTCCGATCTATGGCAAAGGGGGGCGCGGCTCCCGCTGCGGGGGGGTGGGGCCGTGAGGGCCGAAGGTTATCCCCTTGTTCGGGCGCTTGGGTCCATCAGGATGGATAGATAGGCAGCCGGGGGAAGTGGTAGGGAAAGGCAGCTTCCGGAGGCCCAGGGTGGGCTCGAGGATCCAGAGGGTCCTTACGGGGTTCTACCGGGGCTTGTCGGGGAGAGGAAGAGGGAAGGGGCTGCGGAACCAGGGAAGCCGAAGCTCGGCCACTGGAGCTGCGGGAGGGAGAAGCTGAGAAAGGTGTCAAGCCCACGTCGTCCCCTGGGGACGGGCGAAGGGAGGGGCCTGGGATTTATTCGCCGATGAGGGAGGAGGAGGAAGTGCAGATGGAGGAAAGAGGGATCCCGAGCCAGGACCG